TCGTGTGAGTCCTTGCCGGACGACTCCAGAGCTCTTCTACCCGGGTTCGAGTCCTGCAGGTTTATTTTCCCGTCGCCGAAACCCTATGCGATGTACCCTCGTATTTTCATCTTCCCGTCGCCGGAACCCTATGCGACGTACCCTCGTGTCTTGCAGGTTTGAGTTTTCTTTTCTTTTCTCTCTGTAACCGCAACTTAAGCAAGTTTTCCAGCCTACACCACTGCCATCTCGGTGTAAGTAAACAATCTTTTAAACTACCGCTACGCGTTCGTGCCTAATTCCAGCTCGAAGGCCTTCCCTCTCTGCCCCGGCATGCCCGGGCTGCTGGCCACAGCCCGCGTGCAGCGCGAAAAGGGCTCGGGTCGCTCCCGGCCCGCACACTCTGGAGAGTAGGGGCTGAGAACTCAGCCCCTGCTCATGTTCCAGAGCAGCTCTGTGCAGTGCAGAGCTGGGAGCTCCAGCCCCCACTCATTTTCTGGAGTTCCCAGCTCCGCACTATGTAGAGCTGCTCTGGGGGGTGGGTGAGGGCTGGGGACCTAAGCAGAGCAGCTGCTAGCAAGCCCCATGCCCCTCTGCTCAGCAAGGGTCTGGCTAGAAACTGCCCCACTTGCAGAACAGTTCCTAACAATCCCCCTTCTGAGCAAGGGGGTACGCCCAGCAGGAGGCTCACTGGGAAGCCCCACTCAGCTGCAGCAGCACCTATCTCCTTGCCCTATGCACATCAGGTCCCATCCTGATGTTCACAGGGCCAGAGAACAGCTGCCACTGCAGCTAGCAGAACTCCCCTGACCCTTTGCACATCAGGACCGGCCCCCATATCCTCTCTCAGCCCCTGGGCTAGCACCCAGGAAAGCCTGGAGCTCCCTGTGGCTGCTACAGGAGGCCAGAGCAGGATAGGAGCAGATCTGCTCCCAAAAGGGTGCATGTATAGATGTGCTCCCAGGTACTGTGCAGTAAGCCTAAACCATATTAATAGCACAAGTAGATGCACCCACTGAGTATATCATTGCCTAGTGCAGATCCAGAAGGGACCTCATTGCACTGAAGGAGATGCCAGAGGACCAAGAAAAATTAAAGCAGCACAGATTAAAAGACAGAAATGAGAGAGCACTCTCTCTCTCTCTCCAAGTGAGGCAAAAGGCCAAACACCATCCATTCAGACTGAAAACACTCCTTGTAAAAAGGCAGTTGAGGAAAACCAAGTAATAGAAAGTGTGCACTATTATTTTTGCCCTTGGAATTAGGAGACAAGAGATGCAGAGTGCATATGCTTTATACAGGTACTACTTGAGGAAAAGGTCTCCCAGCTTGAGTGCTTGAGATACATATGTACCTACAATGGGAATGCAAGTATGGAAAGGCACTTGAACAACAGGCACTTGAAGCAACCACATGCTCTCTTTGTTTTAATGAAAGAGGATACACTAAAAAAAAATACAAATAAAGGCTATGCAGTAGACCACCTTTGCCTGGCTCCTGCCACAAAATTATCCTCTAAAATGTAAGCTTTCATTTTAATAAAAGTTTCTAGCTTACAGATGAACTGACTATATTTCATTGGTCATTTTAAACAGAAGCATCCAGCTAGCTCACTTGTTTTACAATTCCAGACTGCTTCCCCAAATATCAAAAGTCTCAAACACTGACTACTTTCAGGGAAGAAAACCTTCAGGTTTCTCCCAAACAATATATACCTGAATAACATCCTAACTAAATTTAATTCAATACCAGAATACATACTGAATACCAGAATGCTCTGCCTTCTACGTAATTTATGCAATTATGCTACTCATTGGAAAAATTCAATTATTAAAACAACTTAAAAATTAACTGAGATGGCCACAGAATTTTTAGTTTGCTGAATCGTTACTTTGGAATCCAAGGACCCTGATGCAGAATTCAGTTTCCATTTGCCATGAATTATATGGGGGGTTGAAAAATATACCATGCATGTTAGAATACGAATTCTATGCATTTTAGAATGCATATTGGTTTCCCAGAAGACCACATGGCTCCTACAAAACTGCTAATAGCATTGCTAAATATAGGTTTTGGCACACATTTTCAAAACCATAGAACTACTCAAAAGACAATGATTGTTCCTTAGTAAATCTATTAACAAAAGGAAAATGTAGCTCTGCTAAGTAGTGCAGGATTCACTATATGTGTGGTTGCAATTCCAAATTTCCAAGAACCACCTCCTTCTTACTTAAAAGATTCCCACAGCTAGTCTCTTT